AACGTAAAATATTTGAGTAGCCCAAGACATAGCCAAAGATTGCAGCGCCACAGCACTGGCGAAAATTTAAATTTGCCGACTGGAATTCTTTCGGATAATTGACGCTCTACTGTAGTTGTGAATTAGTATGAACAGTATGGATTAATAAAAGTAATGTTTTCATTTATATATACTATAGTTTACATTATGGAGCATATTAATGTTTTTATCCACTATAATTTCAAGAAGTTTTATACTCCACCTTTTTTTACATTATTATTTCTTTTATTACATTAATACCATATTTTTGATCCCTTCTCTAATTAGATATTAAAAATTTTTTAAATAATTATATAAATTTTAAAAAGAGACATCAATTTATATAAATATAGAAAATATTTTTAAACAATCATAAGCAAATTCTACCATGATTATTGCAAATCTTTCTGAAAATTTAATAAAAAATATAGTTATTAAAAAGACAACCATATGAAAATTCATTTGTACTAATTAATAAGAATAATGATAAAGAAAGATAATTAGATACTCGTTAGAACAATGATACATTACATGGAATAATAAAACACAACAAAAACATACCTTTTTTTTCTTTCTTTCTTTTATTTATAGTGAATTTGTTTAAAAGAATTTTATAAATGATTTGAACAGAAAATAGGTAAATTTATATCAATAGTGTTCCTACATCCTGGAAATGAAGAAAAATAAATGATATACAATAGAAGTTCTATTATTTTTGCAAGGCTGTTTTTAGTTCATGTTTCTCTGCACGCTTAGAAAACAAAAGAGATATAACGCTATCGTTTTTATGAAAGGGATCAAAACTTTCATAGTAAAATAAAATATATAAACTTATAATAAAATATCACATAAAAAAATAATAATAGATCAGATTTAAATTAGTTTTACAGTTTAAATATTAAGTTTTGTCATAGTTGCGAGGCAAAATATTATTCTATAAAATTCGAATCTAATAATACTTATTTTTTGTATATTGTATTTGGAATATAAATGAAAATTTTTATTTTTGAGACAGATTAGTAATGTAATGTTATAACCAATAAGTAAGTTCACATTTTTAGTTTAATTTATTTCAAATGTACAATAAAGGCATTTATAATCGTTTTATGTGTCTATGGTCGGATGGCCGAGACAGTTAAGAGCGGCCGCCCTCATTGAACTCACAATGAGTATGGAAAAAAGGCCAAAGATGGAAAGAATAGAAAAAAAAGAGAGATAGTTTTATGTTAAACATTTAATTTTAAACTAATCAATTAAAAATACATTCAAAAATTCGTTGAAATTTTGAATTTCATTTTAATCGAATTTTTCATTTTTAGAATTTGCTTTTTTTTATTGAATATTTATTATAAATAAAATTAAACTTAAAAGTTAAATACGAAATGAGGCACGCCATTCCAGTGTGTTTTATCCGCTTTCGCTTAATTTTCTATACTCAAAAATTTTAAGAAGCGGATAAATAAGACGACGCGCCTCAAATATCTTGTCATTTTTTCGTTGTGTCAAGTGAATAATTATAAAAAACTAAATTCAGTGTATGTAAATATAAACCGAATCTAAAATATAGTCTGAAATTAAACGTATATATCGTCGCTATTTTACAAGGAAATTTGAATTCCGCTAATAAACGCTACTATATATGTCATTTCATAGATATCAAACTTATATTCTCATAAACCTAGTATTTAAATATTAATAGAAATATTATAAATATACGAATTTTTTTAATTATTTTTTTTAAAAACGATTTATTATCGAGTATTTTATGAGATAAAATTTTTAGTTATAAATCTTAAATTTAAAAAAAAAATTACAAAATAATTTCGTTTATATTTTAANATTAAATATCTAAATAAAATTTAAAAACATAGATATATTAGAGTTGTTAAAATGCAGATGGCGCTGTTATGTTTCCTAGCAACCAGAAAGTAAATTTTAACTGGAATCTGAATTGTTTATTTATTAGCATAATATAAAATAGTCCTAACTGTTTCTTATTAGCTCATGTTTCTCCTAAGTTATTCGCAGGATCCGTCAGTGAAAGCCGTTATACTTAGATTTATGAGTATTATGATTTGAGATGCCTGGAAGAAAGCATAGAAGAGATAAAAGTGAAGTTAGTTGTTGCTTGAAATATCTCATTTTTGGCTTTAATGTTATATTTTGGGTGAGTTTTTTTTTTGTAAATATTGAATTATTCAACATGGCTTATAATCAAAATACAATTAATTATTTTTTCAAATTTTATTTACATGTTAATGAATGGGGAATTGTTTTAGACACTACATGTATTTTATGTAATACAATATATATACATACATGTAAATATTGTATTATATATTTGAATTGAAAAATTCGTTTTTTTTTTTTTTTTGTGATTACTCGAGTCTGGTGACACAATTATGAATTTATTAAATTTTTATCCGTATTCAATTTTCTTAAATTCAGTTATCGTAAATTATTTTACAAAGGAAATTCTGTACTTTTCAGTTAACGGGATGCCGGCCGAAATGTACGGCAACTGGTAAGATTCGAGGTCTAAATGAGGAATTTCACACTGCACCAGAATTGTTGTGATGTTTGTCTCCCTTTTAACGTGTATCGGTCTATTTCCTATTCTACGTGCTTTGCATGTAGACGTGTACCTTGGCACCTGGGAGGGGAGAGCCTCGCATCCCCAAAACTATATAATGTCAAGTACTCCACGAACATTCGAGTGGGCTAATCGAAGCTGGCACGGTCGCGTGGGCTAAATTGTTAAACGTGATAGTCTTTTGCAATAGTCTTCTGGCCGAAAAGTACCTGAAATTTATATATTATAAAAAAATTTTACTTTATAACATATAATTCATTTATTTGTCCATACAAAAGAAAATGCAAAACTTTGTAAATAAAACAAAATTTAATTCAGATTTGTTACAAACTCATTTTTTAAAAACTCGTTGAAATTATTTATCAAAATTAACAAGGAGTTTAACATAGAGTAAGATCATCAGTCTGTCCTATTTAATGAAATATGATAAACTTATCCTGTCATTCACAGAATAATTTAACCTTATTCTGGAAATAATAATAATTTTCATACTAGGTAGCATGAATATATTTTGATAGCATGATTAATTAATTAATCATAGTATCAAAGAATCAATTTTATATCTTTAAAATTGTTAAAAATTAATTCAGAAATTTTTTTAAAAAATTACTTTAATATTTCAGACTTTACTTATTTTTTATTTTTTTAAGTTTTGAAGCAAAGAATTTTTTAAGTCACTAATTTTTAAAATTTTAAGATCAGAACATTAAAATAGTTTTTATAAGAGAGTTAACATATTTATTTAAATATTGTATAGGCTAACCTAACCTATATGAAAATAAATATTTATCATTAATAACACAATTATTTTTATATAAACTATTAATAGATTATATTATATATTATGAAAATGAATGATTGAACAAATTTTGACTTAAACAAAAGTTTTTTTTTTTAATAATTGTCATAGTTAAGTTAAATTTTTATTTGGTTAATATAATTCTAATTGTAAAGATATTTGGAATTGTAAAACTTTTTTTCTTAGATTTTGCAGAGTTATCAAATGAAAAGTTTATTTGCAAGTAGACTTAGTGATGCCAATGAGGAGTTTCAAGTGCTGTTCCTAGAGTCTGTAATAAATAAATGTTTGAGATTTAAGTGTTTTTTACGTGTGTTAAGTTAGTAACAAAGTATAATCAACTCAAGCTATCTTCAAGTCTACTCTTCACAAGTAAACTTTTGTTTCATTATCTGGTAGAAGCAAAGTAAAAATATTTTAATTTCAGTAGTGTTTAGATATATAATTTTTGCCAATGTTATTTAGAAATTAATTCTACAGAAAATCAATTAAAATTTTTTTTTACAATAATAAATTATTTCTTATGAAAAAAATTTAACAAACAAAATTTTCTCTGTAAATTTTATCATTAGGCTATAAACATTATGAATAATAAAGTATTTATTAAAAGAAGAGTTACCGGTTTCATCAAAAGTATAGTAAATTGTCGTTTTGATGATGATGATAATAAACTTTATTTATTATAGTTTGAACTTTTTTTCAATTTTTTAATGGTTTTTCATAGATATTTCTGACTCCTCAAAAAGTAAGAAGAAAAAAATTTAAAAAAAGCCAATTTATGAATATTTTCTAGAATAAACTTTTCTGAGAAAGTCAATAATTTATATCAATATGCTTTAAATATATTCTCGGAAAGAAAGCTTTTCTAGAAAAATAATATGCAATGTATATGAAATTTTAATAGAACTATTAGTTATTTTCTTAGAATTAACTTTTTAAGTGAAATTATGAAAGTAATAAAACATTAAACTTTTTTGATATAATGAATAATTGACTACAAAATTCTGATTTAGATATCTTTACACTTTATAATTTTTTTAAAATATAATTAATATTATAAGTAGTATTTTTTATTCTTTGCATAGATTTTTAAAATTCAAAATTTTATTTACATAGAAATAACCTGAGTTGCACACTAATTTTAAATAATAGTGTATATTGTTTACAAAGATTTTAACTATAGAATAGCAAATTGCTTACCATATTTGATATACTATTGTTTATAGTCCGATTATTATAATATATACAATTATGCATTGAAAATATTATTCATTTTCATAAATAAACTAGTTTTACAAGGTATATATATATGTTTACAAATTCTGATTGCATAAATTTTACAAATGAATAAACAATAATATATAAAGTTTACAGTTTAGAATGCTTTCATAAAATGTTTAATATAGAATTAAGCATAATTTAAACTGTGTACTGAATTATAAAACTACTCTACTTTTAAGGAATAAATCACATTTCAGATATTATAAATTTTAAAAGAAATATTAGTATAATACTCCTTACATGATGTACATTTTTATGTTTTAAATATATATTTTAAAATTAAATTACAAGAATAAAAATTAAATTCATATTCTAAAATACTCTAATTATAAGGAATAGGAGTGAGTTTGTTTCAAGCCTTATTCATTTGAAAGATGCAGAGAGTGATACTGAATGATCTCTTGATATTTCTGTATCAAGAGATCATTCAGAATCATCTCTCAATTGCTTTAGAAATATTTTATTGTACATAAAGTAAAAAATAAATAAACATTGATATTAGTCTAATAGATATATTGATGCTTAAAATCTAATTACAGTAACATTGTTATATATCATTTTAAGTGAGAATACTTAATGCTACTAAATTTTGTATATTTTTATGTATTTTTGAAGCACTGTAAATTCTTTCAAGAAGTTTTTTTAACATCATTATCTATTTTCTTAGTTATATGAATAATTTTTTTAATATTCAAAATAACAATAAATGTTTGCCTTTAGTTGGTTTTAATTATATAATCATTTTGTTACATAATTGTCTTATTTTTAGAAACCCTATCTGAACTTGTTAGTCAAATCAAGGGTACAGTATAATGTGCTTACATCTTAATTTTATTTCTTTTTCTCTAATTTTTTCTGGCTCTTTCTGGCACTAAAGCTGTTTTAATCATAAATGCTATGGAGTGGCAAGGTGTGGGATGGGATCCAACATATCCAGGTGGACCATTTCTAAAAAATTCCTGGAAATCCTGGACTCATCCAGATTTGATCCTAGATCTCCAGAGCAGTAGACTGCCACCTTAGCTATTTGGCCATCTGGTCTTGACCATGTGGTGAGGGATGGGGCTGACATATCTGGAATGGATTTCCCATGAAAAATTCCTGGGGTTTTTTGACCACCCAGATTCAATCCTGGATTTCCCAGATCAGTATGTTTTCTTGGCCATCCAGTCATCTTTTTACTTTGTTAATGATTATATCTTATTTTTTTTTTGTAAATCAAAATACATTTCTAGAAATTCCTAAATGTAAAATTCTTGACTATACTGTACAAAGAACTAAAATACAGAGATAATATTGATTAACAAAGTAATATAATATTTTTGCTTATGATGTTTTGTTGTACATGTGAAATTGCAGTAAAAACTGTTTTAAAATTGCTGAAATTTTTTACTTGAAAATAGTTTTATATAGAAACTTTAGTTATGTGCATAGTTAAAAGCTAGATATATCTGCAAGTAACATCTATATTGTGTTTAGAACTCTTGATTAAAATAATTAATGAGTAATAGATATTGAAATTTCAAAGAAATATCATTCAATATTAAAAACAAAAAAATGTTTTTTTGTTTTTTTTTTAGACAATTACTGATGTTTATTACATGCATCAACTTTTTAAAAATGTAAATGAATTATAAAACAATTAAGTATAATGGTAAGTTGAATTATGAATAGAAAATATTATTCAAAAGAAAAAATTTATTGTTTTTGCCAAATTACTGAACATAATAGTTTTATCAGTTTTGGCCAAAAGTATGCATTTCACAAACTTGCAATTGGCAAATGTACAAATAATGCAGCAGTTTGTAAATGAAAATCCAATATCCAGAAGATATCCAAAAATGATAAGTTTAAAGAAAGTTCATTGTATTTATTTTGTTTGAAAAAACTTTAATGAAATGTCTACTAAAATGACACAAAAATTCATGGGTATGTTCTAAGATGTCAAAATTTTGTAGTAAATTTTTAAAATTTTTAACCACTATTTTAAATCATTTATAATGTTTATTTTGATACATGGCAAAGTACATAAAATAAAAGTTAGTATTATTTAAAAAATAAACACATCAATATTAAGAAAAAACTGGATAAATTCTGGGATCTTATGACTTAATATCAGTAAGGGTGAATTTTATCCACATATAAAAATATGAAACTATTTACTGTAAATGAACAATAGTAACACCTTATATTGAAAATATAATTGTTTTAAATTTTGTATTAAATATTCCTAAAATTAGATGTTTTAATATGATGAGAGGATATTGGTTTGTTTCTTGCCATTTAGATATCTAAAATTTTGAAATTTAGCAAAATTGTATTTAGTTATGAATGTATTTTTAAATTAACTATAACATTGTAATTATTTATTTAGTTTTTCAAATCTTGCTAATATATAAAATAATGTATTGAAATCTTAAAAATTTAATGGTAACTGATATAAATTTGGATTAAATAAGGTAAAAGAATGATGTTTCAAAACTATTGTTAACTTAACTATTTTTAGCATTCATTTCATTAAAAAAATGATCATTTTTATAATCTCATCTGTGGAAAAAAATGTAAATTTTTTTTAATTGAATGCCCTTAGTGAAAAATTATTGAAAGATTTAAACTTTTATAATTTTTCTTATTTAATAATTATGATTTATAAAGTTGTGATTTGGAATAAATTTTCAATAGTTTAAGTTTCAATCATCTCTGTTTTGAATTTTAAATTATCAATTCTTCAAATATATAAAGAAAAGTCAATTAATTTGTAATGTATGACTTTTTTAAATAAATTTTTTTTTCTGTTCTACTAAGAAAATGTCATATTTTCTTAGTGGAACAGAAATGTGATGCTCAACTTCATTTCTATAGAGAGTGTTATTACCATACCAGCAATACGGCAATGAGCATTGTTTTGTATTAAAAATTGGCTATTCTTTCACAAATACCGATCTCTTGTGGAAAAGTGTAAATCATGTGATGTTTTTCTTCTTGATTTCATGTATGAGGTCAATAATTTTAGCTTCAACAGAGCAGTCCATGCACTCTATCCATGAGAACAGTTCTGTTGACAAAGTACAGCACCTGTTGGATTCTTGAAATATGTACTGGAAACAGATAATTCAATCTTAGTAAATATTACATAACTTAATCGTATCAGTTATAATCCAGATATTTTGACAAAATCTGAGTAAGAACTGATCTATAACATCTTACTTTAATATTTTTTAAGTTTGATTTGTAAAAATTGTAGTATCATGTATTTTAATTTGAAAATGTAAAAAAGTAATCTTTTAAAATATAGAATCAGTTGTCTGTAGATATTAATTCCTATAAAACTATTTTATAACATAACATACACACAAAAAAATCAAAAATCCAGTAAAAGAAACATAAAATTTAATGAGAAACTAAAGTTTTCAACAATTTTTGGGTATCATTGTCAAGTTACAACTGTATACAAATATAAAATCCAACAACAGAATTTTAAAAAAACAAGGTGTCATCCAGTTGGTTAAGTGAAGCAAGCAGAATATTGGTATTAATCAATTAGAAAAATTGATTTAGTGAATTTCAATAAAAGGCCTTCCACACTTGCGAAAGGTTGTTATTGCCATTGTAATTAATTGTGATGTCTTTTCTTCAGACTTTGTATATCTTCAGTTTTTTCCAAGTGCTTAAGATGATTAACATCTCTGAAATGATATATGAGATGTGCCTTGTCCAAGTGCACTTGAACTTGATTGTCAATAGTATGAGCTGCCAAAGAGTTGGGTGACCCTTTTGGATTGATATTAGGTGCTACTTTAATCAGTGGCTAAAGGAATTAATATTTACAGATTTTTAATATTTGAATTATTGAAAAAAGTTTTTAAGTGATCTACAATGGCATAAACAGGTACATTACATTTCATTAACAGACAAAAATGGAAATAAATACTTTTTGTACAGTTATAAGCTTTAAGTATGAGATTTTATAAAATAAGTAAATTAATCACTATTTATTTAAGTTGCTAGGACTCAGCATCCTTGTAGTTGGAGTTTGGGCTTGGACTGAAAAGGATATCATCAATAATTTAACAAGAATAACAAATATTGCATTAGATCCTGCATTTGCACTTGTCATTGTAGGCAGTATTACTTTCATTATTGGATATACTGGCTGTGTTGGTGCATTAAGAGAAAATACATGCTTGTTAGCTGCTGTAAGTATTTTTTTTTATCTTTTTAATTAAAAAATTTTATAAGTATTAATTCAAACTGTATTCTTTGGAGTGTAAAATTTTAGAAGCTTCAAATGCTGTTGGGCCATATACTCAATATCAGAACATAATATCAGAACAATAACAAAAATTTATATTATTTTATTATTTTTCTTATAAATAAAAGTGTAGATTTAATATGTTTAAAAAGTGCAGTGCAGCATTGAAAATCCATAACAGTTGAGGCCTAATTCCCTCCAGATATTTCAATATATATGTAAATTATTATTTTAAATACTGTGAACTCCAAATACACTAATTCAAGTTTATTCCAAGTTTAAGTCAGTATTTCACAAGGAATGTAGGGCTATTTAAAAATATTCAAAATAAAATTTACAGAATTACTATATTTACACAAAAAATACACTAATCATAATTTCAAAATTATAAAATTCTGAATTCTAAATGAAAATTAGAACATTAACAATACAAGGCTGAATGAATATCAACAATGAAGTTACCATTGAAAGGATGATTAATATCTATTTTTCAATAGCCGAATCTGGATTTTTGATGTTTTACTGTATATATGTTTAAATTTTACAATTTTTAAAATATGAGGGCTATTTGGAAATCAACCTCCAAGAGGCATGAAATAAAATAGGAAAAAAGGTAAACTATATTTATTATAACAAAAATTGCACACATACATAAACTATTTTTCAACATAATCACTGTATAAATTCAGATATTTCATAGCATGATGCCATCTTCTGAATACCTTGCTCAAAGAAGATTGTCACCAAGGACATCAGCTACTCTCGAACACCATCCATCAGCTCTTCATTGTTGTCAAATCGCTGCAACCAAACCAAATTTTCATTTTTGCAAACGAATGATAATTGCTCAGTACAAGATATGAGCTGTAGGGTGGGTGGTTGAACACCTCCCATTGAAACTGTTGGAGCAACTCTTTTGTGTATCTGGCTGTGTGAGGACATGCATTATCCTAAAACAACATGAGCTTGAGGTCAACATGTCTTGTCTTTTGTTCTGAATTGCCTGTCTAAGCTTTTAGAGTTTTGCAATATGCATTCGCAATAATAATTGCATTCTGCTTCATAAACTCTTTCAGCAACAACACTTCTTTTATGGTCCCAAAAGACTGTAATCATAAGCTTCTTTCTTGTTTGACAATTTTGGTTTAAACTTCTTAGGTTTGTTTGGTAAGGTCATTTGCATCCACCATTTTGATTGTTCCTTTGTCTGCACATTCTCAAAGTGAACTACATTATGTTGCCTGTTATGATGTTATCCAGAAAAGTACCACCATCTGTGTTATAGCATTGCAAAAAACTGCAATGTTTGCATTTGCTTTATTCTTTGAGGTGTTTGGGAATTCACCTGGCACAAAACTTCTGATTACCTTGAGCTGAAGTCACAGTCTCATAGGTTATTAGCCTTATTGTAGGAAATTCACAAGACAGTTCCAATATTGTGAAGCAGCAATGCTCACAAATCACTTTGTCCACTCATTCGAAACGAAACATTGTCACCGCAGTTTTCCTTGTCCATCTTCATCATACACATCTGTTTGATGCTTTTAAAATTTCTGGCACCATTCCCTTACATAACCTTCACTCATGAAGTCCTGTACACAGCACTCATCCTATAATAGATTTCAGCTGCATTTTATTCTTTAGCTTGCAAAAAGTGAATTACAGCACAAATGTCACATTTGTTGGAAACTTCAATTACACCAGCCATCATTCTTCACTTGCTACAGACCATGCACCAAACAGTTACCAATTGCATGAGGTTACATAAGCTTATTTCTGCACATGCACAGCACTAAAGTCAACCTTGTGCTCACACCAGTCAAATGGATGTTGATTTTCAAACAGCCTACATATATTAGTCATTTTCAAAAGACCTTTGTTTTTAAAAATATACATGATCAAATGTGTTTTACAAAATGATTGAGTATTAAGCATCTGAAAAACAAATTGAGTTAGATTTTGTTTGACAAACTTCCTTAATGAGTATATTGTTAATAAATCTTTTTTGAGTGTATCAAAACATTAATACTGCAGATTCTGAAATAAAAAGTGATACTTTGATATGAAATCAAATGAATCATATGATTGATTTCAGTTGACAGTTAAAAGTTTTCTTGCTTTCTTGACTTTGTTGATGGCAGATGTTACAAGAAACCAATGAATATATTACTTATTCATTCATGTACAGTGGAACCCCGGTTAACGAACGTCCTGGTTAACGACCAAATCGGTTAACGAACTTTTATTTTGCAAAAATTTTGTCTCGGATAACGAATGTAACGGTATTTTGTGTCAAATTTTAGTTGTGTTAGGCACGTGCGAGTTAAGTATTGCTTTTCCGAGTGTTTGTACTATACTTCTTTTTTCAGTTTTGTGATTTATATATTTAATCAATATGGCATCCAAGAAAGAAAAAAGTCATAATGGCAATAGAAAACGACAACGCGCTATCGCATTTGAGAAATTTTTGATTAAAAGAATAAGACAATCAACTTTAGATCAATTTCTTGTTCCTTACGGAAAGAGTTTGTTAAGTTATGGCAACGCAACACTTGGGCGATTTTCCTAGGGGGAATGCCTTCTGGGAGGTGGTTTAAGGAAAACTGGCCCCTATTTAGGCGTTACAGACGTGGAGAAAACCCGGAAAACTCCATGTGGTCAGCCCGTCCTGATGAGGCGCGAACCCACGACCGACTCCCAGTGCTCAGGGAACGAAGATCGATTGGCCACTGGTGGGCCTTTTGCATTCTTACCCGAGTCGTTCGGATGAGGGTTGTGAATTAGGTATAACCGTTTTGCTAGTTCATTTTTCTGACATAGATTTGACTTTTTTTTTGTATTGAAAAATGATAATTTGATAAAAGATGCGCGCCCCACAGTTTGGAAAACATTGATATAAGGTGTTTTTACTGTCATATGCATATGTTAAACTTTCGTTATAATCTTACATTCAATGCTGTATTAGTACTGTAACTAGATTTATGTGTGTCCTGTGCAAGATGTTATTTTTGGCCTTTCTTTCTTTTAGGAGAAAAATAAGAGAGAAATGGTCGGTTACTTTTTAACTTAAACCAAAAACGTTATGGAATCGGTTCCTACGGCGACAAAATTTAAAATCTGAAAATAAAAACATATACTGATCATTTTTATAACCCGCATCTTAGTACGTTCATGTATGGCCCTGTGCATGTCCACTGACTGCACTTGCCTAGTTATGGCATTGACTATTCAGTATTGTAGTTTAAATTTCGGTTTTTTGGCACTCAATACTTCATGTATATGCTAGTTCTTTGCTGTTGTTGAAAAATGTGGTCATCATTACCGCTTAATTTAAGTACAGTACAGTACAGTACTGTTTTGTATAACTCTTGCGTAATGGAAGTAGCAAATAAGTTTATTCCTCTGTCAAAGATGAACTTGAAATTTTAGAATGTTGTGATAAGTTGATAAAATGAATCAGCACAATGCTGTTTTACGGTTAAAAAAAATAGAAAAACAGTGAATATGGAAATGTCAACAGAAACATATGAAAACCTGATTCGCAAGAGAAATCGAATCGGAAAGAATAGGGAAGTTGAATTAGCTTTGAAGTTTAATGATGCTTGTGAAAAATGCTCGGGTTAACTGATGGTCATAAAGAAGAATTTGTTAAAAATATGGGAAAGAAAGATTTTATTGAAACCGATGGATGATTGTACCAGTAAAGAAAACGAGAGAACATTGTGTGTAGATGATGAGAGGAAAAGTTCTATTTCTTTGTCAAAAATTATTGCTAAATGTTTACCGAGGACAAACGAAACATCATTTTATTTTCGCTCAATGCCTGATCTTAGAGCCTGTATGTTTAAACATGAAAGTGCTGAAGGAACCATATTGTAAGAATTTTGTTACGTTAATATGCAAGGCCAGAAATAAGACTTAGTAATTGGAAAAGGTAAAAATTGTAGATGTTTTAAGGGTGTAAAATATTTAACTATATTTACAAGTGGATTACTGTTCAAATAAACTTTAAAACGAAGGATTATTTTCTTGGTACTGTAGACAATTGTACAGCACATCCATGTGTTAATAATATCATTAAAATAATATTTCTGCGAATACATCACTGATTCAGTCATGCGACCAAGAAATCATATCTAGTTTAATAGGTATAGCCTACTACAGAAGTGAAACGTATACAAAAATTTTAGAAACTAGATGTTAATCTAACACGAACTGAATGACCACTATTGCTAAAAGAATTTTCCTACTTGACGCACTACATCTTTTGGCAATGTCGCAGGATCAAGTGTCTGAGAAGGGCGCTGAGAATAGTTTAAAAAGAGTGGTTAAAAAAAAAATAGGCAAGAGACATATGAAAATGAAGTCGTCTGTTGAAGAGGAGATCATAAATAATACTCTAGAACAGGGGTGTCCAGCCCGCGGGCCGCATGCGGCCCAATAAACGTGTAAACAAAACCGACAGATTTTTTAATTTAATTTTATTTATTTATTTATTTCAACGGCACAAATTCAAAAAAGACGTTTCACAAAGCAGTAAACCTTTATACATATTTTAATTTTGAGTGGAAAGGAAACATTTTCAAATACTTGGAAATGTGTGAATGAGGAAGGTATATTAAATAAAGCTGAAGTTGTGACTCAAAGGAGTATAGACTCAAATTCGGG